AGAGCCACTGGACTATAAGAAATATCATGCTGCCAGATGACAAGGAGCAGGAGGGAGGGAGACGAGATGCTAAGCCCTGAGCCGTTTCTGAAAGGAGCCTTCAGGCACAAAGCCTGAAGTGGCAAAGATGCAAGTATTGCTGTGGCTCCAGAGAATATTATTGGACAGTGACAAGGGAGTCACCTAAGGAGCAAGGGGCTATGGCAAGGTCAGAGGGAGGGAGGAAGGGCCCAAGGAAGAAATGATAAGCCTAGACCAGGGAATGGTCAGTGGGGAAACTCCAGCAGGCCCTCAGAAGCAGCCACAAGCAACCCCACTGAAGATATCAGCATTGGATATATCAGCATTGGATGCCACCAGAGAGAAGCATCTTCTAGAGAAATCCAAACCACCACACTGCTAACACACAAGGAGACCTCTGGCTCCCAAATGGCTATCAAATAGTGCTCTGCAATGTGATCTTTTCCATCATTGATCAAGAGGTACTATCTCTCTCCTCCTGAATCTGGGTACACCCTGCGACCACTTTGACTACAGCAGTAGTAATGCTCTACCACTTTGGAATATAGTCTTTACTTGGCCGGACAGGTTCCACTTTCTGCCTTTTGAAGGGTAGCTGCCTTATAGGGAAAAAAAAAAGTACATTCTTGCTATGACCACAATGCCAAGTGGAGAGGCCTTGGAGGATGAGCCACCTCAGGGGGAGGAGAGATTCCACACCGGTGTGTGCAAGAGACTTCTTGGTAGTGGATCTAGCTGATCTACTAGAGGCAGCCCCACATGTCCCAGCTGTCACCACTTCCCATCATGGACAAACTCTCCAGTGAGCCCTTCCTGAATTCCTAAGTCAAGAGTTAAACAAAATGATCATTTAGAGCCACTGAATTTTAAGGATGTTTTACACCAAACAACAAGGAGTTGTCTGAGAGCAGACCACTTTCTTGTCCTGCCATTCCTTTTCTTTCTAGAGCCACAGTCTAGTCTGTCTAGGAGGTAACAGAGAAGAAGCCATTAATTGACTATGCCATTGAAGACTTGAAAAGAATAAAAATTTAGAAGCACAAATGAGACTATATGGATAAATAAAAGTTACCCTAAAAAGACAAAATGAGTCTTCATGATCCCTAGGAAACTGTAGTTAAGCAGGTAAGGAAGTTAAATAGAACACATGAAGAGTTACTAGAAACATTGAAAAAGCTGTTTTTATTTGTATCCCAATTAGCTGAACCACTTTAATAAATCAACTACATATGTATATAAAAGCATATTAATGTTCATTTAAAAACATTTTCAAAAAGGTGTTTTGGGGCTGGGATTGTGACTCAGCGGTAGAGCGCTCGCCTAGCACATGCAGGGCCCTGGATTCCATCCTCAGCATCACATAAAAATAAATAAATAAATAAAACAAAGGTATTGTGTCGGACTGCAACAAAAAAATAAATATTTTTTTAAAAAGTGTTTTAATTGCTCCTCTCTTCTCTAGCGAGCTAGGTAATCTGTGACCATCATTTCCATTTTCTTGCTTCTATATTCTCACCATTCAAATTCTTTCCATTTAAAAAATGTATACATACAAAAGAAAAGATATAATACAGCGTGATGTGAAATGAATACAGCTAACTCGTCACCCAATGCCTTTGACTTGGTGGATTCCTTTCCTATCTTATCTCTTGATGTTTCCACTCTCCTGAATTGTATCTGCTTATCATTCCTTTGCTTTTTGGAGTACAATTTTTATCATATTTACATATGCCCCTACATAATTTGTGGTTTTATTTTCCTTATTCCTGGACTTTCTAAAACTTGTATTTATTGATTTTTCTAAATTATTTTTGTTATGAGAAAAACTAGAAATCTGTTACTTGCCTCAGACTCCCTTGCCAGTGGTGTTCTTGTATTCTGCCACTGGAAGGCGGTTATGTCAGAGTAAAGGGTGTATGTAAGGGAGATGTTATTCTGTTTTTGGTGTTTCCTCCACCAGAGAGCCAGCCTTTGCTGGACTGTCAGATGTTCAGGCAGTGGCAACAGCAGCAACCGCATGCTAGCTCCAAATCCAGTGTTAGTGGCAGGCAAGTGCTGGCTTTTCCAGGGTAACTAGGGGCCCTTGGGGTAGCTGCATTCCTCTGGTAACAAGGTCTCAAAGGAGAAAATCTGGGATTGGTTATTTGTACTACTTGGTCTTGAATGCAGTGATAACCTGCCATGCTGCTCCCCCAAAATGGAATACTATAAGTCCATGATATGCACTAGCAAAATAATTATCTAAATTGTCTTGGTGGTAATGATGAACTATCTACTTCAATTGAGACCCTGGAGATCAAGTGGCTGCAGCATTCACCAATAAAACAGGAGTGATGACTTTTAAGGATTGTGAGTAAGGTGGTTTTTTTTATTACTGCACTAGAGAGAACTCACTCCATCTCTCAGCATTTTAAAACTGTTGTGCTCTCCTCCTGGAAATACCTTCTTGGCTTCACTCTCTCCCTTTTCTAGTTTTTCCTTGACTTTGAGCTACTGGAATTCCCCAAAGGATTATTTCTTGGAACTTTTCATCTATTCCCTAGGTGGTCTCTTCCAATCTCATGACTTTAAACGCCACTTGGAGTCTTCAAGTTAATATGGCCAGTCATGCTGTGCACAGTGGCGCATGCCTGTAATCCCAGCAGCTCCGGAGGCTGAGGCAGGAGGATTGCGAGTTTAAAGCAGCCTCAGCAAAAGCAAAGTGCTAAGCAATTCATTGAGACCCTGTATCTAAATAAAACACAAAATAGGGCTGGAGATGTAGCTCAGTGGTTGAGTGCCCTGAGTTCAATCTCCAGTACCCATTTCCCCCCAAAATATGGCCAGTCCTGATTCAGACTGACACATCCAATTGCCTCTTGAGTTTTTTTACTTTGAAGTCTATTAGATATCTCATGCATAACAGAAATATTGATTTTAATCTCCCAAATCTGCTGCTTCCCCACTTCGGTAAATGGCAACTCATTTCTCTGGTTAAACCAGTGGCTCTCAAGCACTGATTGTCACAGCTGGAATGGGGTATTACCACAGGCTTCTACTGAATGGAGCCGGATACTACTAAACATACAGGACAACCTGAGTAAAAGGAAAAACAAACAAAACAAAACAAAAACCAAAACAAACAACAACAACAAAAACCCCTATCCAATGCAAAATATCGATAGTGCTAAGGTCGAAGAATCCACTGTAAGCCAAAAATTCTTGGAGCATTCTGTGATTCTGTCACAGTCCACTTCAGTAGTTATTTAAATATATATGTGAGTACATGCCACTCCTCTACATAAAACCCTCCCACAGCTCCTGTCTTACACAGAATGCAACCCATGGTCATTTCTTGGTCCCTATGACATCATCCTTCTATCACCTCCTGTTCCCCTTGGCCTCCTGGCTGTGACATACATATCCCCAAATTTCCATTGATAGTGATTATACTTACAGATCAATTTTTTCAAAATACTAGGTGCTTTATAAAAATCACTACATCAAAAACTAAGTGATGTCTGTGTTTTCTTTTGTTGATGTAAGAACCTCTCTCATTATTATAGGGTTGATTTTCTAGTTATTTAAGAGGTAGGCACCATAGAAACATATACATAGAAAATGAAAAATCTAATTTAGCTGCTATTTTAAATTAAAAGTGTTTTATTTTCAAGAACGGCATCCCATTTTCTGAGCTTGAATATCTGAAAGGCAGTAATATAAATGGTTTCAGGAACCAAACCTCTTCTTTCTGATCATAACTAGAAAACATATCAAAATGATTTGTATTTCAAAGTCTACAATCTCATCATAAAAATATTAGTGGTACCAAAACATCCTCTGAACTACTATTCTAAATTATCTTCCAAAATTACTGTAAGTTTACATTTTGCTTTCTAATTTCAGGAAACCACTTATTTTTGTTATAAATGTGCTCATAAAAATGCATTTGGATAATGCATAAATCACAGATGGAAATGATTTAATGAAAGATTAGAGAAAATTTTATAAATCAGATAAATTAATGTACATTGCTAATCATTGAAATGAGTATGTGGGTATTTTGTGTACACAATGACCCTAGAGAACACAAATATGGAGCCCTTCTCAAATTTATGAAATGAGTATGTGGGTATTTTGTGTACACAATGACCCTAGAGAACACAAATATGGAGCCCTTCTCAAATTTAAACCTTTAACCTACTGCTAACTAAGATCACTTAGTGTGTACCTGAGTCACATAAATGCATTCAATAGAAAAAGTGACAATTTAACCTAAAACAACCTAATACAATTTTGGAAGTCTGGATTAATAATTTACAACGTTCCTATGTCTTAAATTTTTTATCATGTGAACTCTAAAGGTCAACTATGTACAAGTAGGGTTGACAAACAAAAACACCTAGTTAGAGCTGAATTTCAGATATGTGAGGAACAAATTATTAGAATTATGTCCCATGCAATTTTTTATACTAAAAAAAAAAATTCATTCTTCATCTGAAATTCAATTTTACTAGGCAATGTTTTTTTTTTTTTTTTTTTTGCTTGCTAAATCGGCCCTCCTGTAGACAATGAAAGACGTTGGCACTCGTTTCTGAAAACGATAGAGAAGGAAGAAGAGGAGGGAAGACGGACCTAGGTCGAGTCTACGGACCATTGGAGGGGAAGGAGCCTCACAGGCGAGGGACCATTGGAGGGACTGAAGCCACAGAGCGATTGGCCCAGGTCCCGGCCACCGCCAGGTCCGTTAGCGCGCGCGGGGCAGGTCATGGTCACCGCACAGACGACCAGGTGCGCCGGTTACAGCTTAACCGCCGGCCAGACGCGGACCTGGGGCACTTCAATTGCAAAACACGACGCCGGTATCCTAAAACGCAAGCAGGTCAACGCCACCAGGTGCCTAGTCTACCCCACTCCCCTACCCGGCCACTCCCACATTCCTGGAGCCTGGAAGCCGGGTGGGGTGTCAAGTGGGGCTGGAGAAGCCGCCCGCTGCTTACAAGTTTGAGTCAGCCTGGAGATGCAGAAGCAGGAGAAGCTGAAGAGCGTGACCGCGACGAAGGAGATGAGCAAGTTCACTTGCTTGGTCCTCATGATTGCTGGCCCAGAGGCTGGCAGCCGGCAGCGCCCAGGATGCGGAGACTAAGCGCGTGGCCTCTGCACGCGCGCCTCTGCCCCTCTCCCCACGCGCACCCTTGCGTCTCCTCCCCAAGGTGCCGCTTGGGCCCCCAGCACACTCGCTCCTGGGAGTTTCCTTCCCCCCGAACTCCTGAACCTTTGCTGCTGACTTCTGGTTCAGCCCATATTATAACCCGTTTACTATGGATGCTGCTGGTCGTTAAATGCAATGAACGATGGGAAAACACCCCACTGCCTGGCACGTGGCGGGTACTCACTTATTTTCCCCTAGTAATTCGTCAGACTTCTTTTCAAGGCTGGGAAACGCTAGTCGCTCCTTGATCCGAGTGCGGTACTTGGAGTTCTCCACTCTGATCTCTCTTTTTTGAGATGCGCTGGTAGTGTCTGGTTACTAGGGGTCTACTTCATACCAGCGCTGGGCTGGGTTCTTGCACCTTGAGAAGGGAAAATGGTTGGAATACCTGCCGCCTGAGAACGCCATTGGAAGCCTGTATGCTAATGGCCAGGAGCTGTGACCTTGAGTTAATGGTGGAGTAGCCAGATCCTAAAACAGGGAGAAGTACTTCAACTGTATCCTCCTGCATCCCTTCAGTCTGTGTCTTTGGCTAAACTCTACTGGGAGCCAGAAGACAAAGCATGTCAGCTTGGGGTCCCAGGTCCTACAAACCTTCCTCCTGGGGAATGGAGAAGGGTAGAAAAGGGCTTAGCGTAGATGAGGGCAGGAGAAGGAAGCTATTCAGCACAGAGTTTTCTCCACAATCAGCATTTCCTGGTCCTTCAGTTTTGCTGTTTTTTGTTGTCTTCCCACCACTTCTGTTGGATGTCCCACTTCAGTTTCAAGATGTCCAAACCTCCCCACCAAGTTAGCTATCTTCCCAGAGCTCCTCAATTTTATCAGTGGCACCAGGTTAATTTCACTGGTTTTCATTACATCCCATGGTTTTTAAAATCTCTACAGTCCTTCTTTGAAATGTCTCCTTTCCAGACTTGCATTTCTGTTGGTATTACCCCAGTTTCTGGTTATTACACTGACATTCAAATGGGTCTCACTGTAGTGTCCAGTCGATCACTGCTTTTTCTTTATCTCCCAGGAAACACACTTGCCTTTGGAACCTGCCAGGCTCTTTTCCCTCCTACCCCACATATGTCTATCATATCATTTTCTCTTGATGTCTGCCCTCTGCCCACAAGTGCTGCATTCTTTCTGACCATCCAGATCTTTTCCATATCTCAAGGTCTCACATTATACCTGTTTCATGAATCAAACCTGATGATAGCAGGTCACTCTGATTTCCTACAGTATATAGGTCCCTCCCTTTCATTTTGATTTTTTGTCCCTAATGTATTTGGGAGGAAGGGTCCTCCAAATGATTCTAATTTCACCCATGGATGAGGGGGAAATATACCCAAAGTGAATTGAATGATTGTTAGTTGTCTTAGGAAATGTACTTACACATTAGAACTGTTCATTTGGTAATTTTACTTTATATGTCATTGAATAACTCAAATCCTCATAACTATTCAATCCAAATCACAAATCCAAATAAATACATTTTCTTCATATTCACTATTTGCTTCATAACTTTGATTAAAACATATTAGCAACTGATTAGTTAAAATAATACCAGTTCCAGGAACAGACCGATTCTCACATCTCCATAATTTAATAAAATAGAGGATTTTTCCCCCTTACACAAGTAATGTTTAATAACTATTTCTGATTGCTTGGCTGCTTTCCAAGTGATCACTCAGAGCCCAGCCGTTCCCATCTTGTGGCTTTCCTGTCCTCTAAGATTTTGGAAACTTCTCCAGTTCATTAGAGAATGGGGTGGGGGGTGTTTTGATTTTGATAAAAAATTGTTACAACTGAATTCTGATGAAAATTTACCAGAGAGAACTTGATAAAAAAAAAAAAGAAAAGAAAAACAAACTAAAAAAATATAGTTCTGGCTGGACACCTTAACCAAAATAAATATAATGCTTCTCAGAACTTTTGGGCTGGGGTTTAGCTCAGTGAGTCAGAGCTAAACCCTAATATGCATAAGGCCCTGGGATCAAACCCTAACACAAAAGTATAACTCCTCTGCCCTCCTAAATAAGTCAATTATTAGTTTTTGGAGTCGATAAATTAGCACATCTAAGAAGGGGCACAGTATTATTAGAAAGAAACACAAAACAGTCACATTAAATATATAATTACTTTTATATTGAGTTTGAACACAATGTTACTACTCACTAGCAATTTAGCATTGGAAAAGGTTTTAAATCCTCTCCAAGCTTGCATTCTTCATCAGTGAGTTGAGATGAATAACACTTGTCCAAGATTGCTGAGGTTAAATAAAACAATATTTAAAATAGCTTAGCACACTTCCTGTTGTTAGTCTAGATTCCTGGCACTCACACAATCTAATTCCATTTCAACCTCTCCAGCTATAGTACTCAAAGGCCATGCTGTACTCAAATTCATCAATACCAGGTGGCTGAGATCAGAAAGGTACTTGGTTCTCGCGTTTTATAGATCTTGACATCAGTATTGTGGAGAGCCACCCATCGCCCCTGGGCTGAGCTTGCTTTCCCTGCCTGGAGCGCTGGAGGTAGCAGTCTGGCGCACAGCAAAAGCTGTGCAGGTAAGTGGCCTTTACCCTTGGTCGGCAACAGAGCCTGCTTCAAGCCCTACCCAGACATTACCTAATGGGGATGGGTAACCCCCTGAAACCCAATCCCTTGCCTTATTGGGGTAGAACTTTCTCAAATGTCTTTCCCCCAATAAATAGAAGGTTTGTGGTATGCTCGCTCTCTTGATTCTTCCAGTGCTGGAGCTGACCCTTGGTATCTCCCAACCCAGCCGCCCTGCCTCAGAAACTTATGTTAGTGTGCTGTGTGGTTTTCTTAGTTATTGATATAGTCAGGTCCTTTGAACCCAGTTCATATCGACAGTCCGGCCAGCAGTATGACGTATCCGGTGATACAGTATGTCTTCTAGTCAATATTTACATTTAAAACAGCATTTCTTCTTTTTTTTCCAAAAAAAAGAACAAAAACCCCCAAAACCCTGCCAATGAGTCAGGACATATGACATTTATTGAGCACCTAACTCTGTGCCAGTCACCAAAGAAGATACCGGGGATACAAATATTCACCTACTTGCTTTGCTCTCTGTTTCATCCAGCTTCTTCTTTATGTTCATACCTGAACTGCACCCTCTAAAGAGTGCTATTCTTACCTATCAGAAGTATTCAGCACTCAGCTGAAATGGCCCTTCCTCTGTGAAGTCTTCGTTGATTGCCCGTGCATGAAGCCATTCCTCGGCTCCTTGAATTTCTGGAGCATTCATCCCTCTCTCAGTGTACACAGTCTGCATTATAGGACTGTTATTCTCTCTACTAAATGAGCCCTAGAATGGAGGCATGTGACATTTTCACATCGTATTCTCTGCTGTACATTTCAAGGTGGTTTATAGTGCAAAGGTAGTTAGGTGCACACACCAGTAATAACAGCAGCTTGGGAGGCTGAGGCAGGAGGCTCATGAGTTCAAAGCCAGCCTCAGCAACTTAGTGAGACCCTCAGAAACTGAGTGAGACCTTGTTTCTAAATAAAATATAAGAAAGGGCTGGGGATGTGGTTTAGTGGTTAAGCATCCCTGGGTTCAATTCCCAGTACCAAAAGAAAAAAGGAAAAAAGAAAAAGGAAGAAAGGTAATGATGGATTGAAACACTAGCTTTGGTACAACTGAGCTACATCCATATCTGACCACTTACAGTCACCACCTACTACCATTTATGCCAACAAAAAAATTTTGTTCCAGGAAATCTAGTAGACAGAGAATACAATAGCATTCTCAAACACCTCAGCTCCCTTTGGTGATTTTTTAAAAAGTTAGTGTCACACTCAGAAGCTGCAAAGTTAAGAACTGAGAGGCTGAAGATAAATATTTACAATGCTAATAGGTATTAGAAAGAGTATTCTCCAGGGACATTATTGGCATTACAAACACCCACCAAAGCTTCTTTAGTTAGCCTTTGTCAAAATGGTGGACTCATGACAGTAATTAACAGAAAAGTAAATTCAGCACAGACAGATTTTTTTCTAGCCTGATATATGTATAGGATCTGAAGGTGAAAACAAGCTGAGAAGCCAGATGTGGTAGTGCACACCTGTAATTCCAGCAACTCAGGAGGCTGAAGCAGAAGGATCACATATTTGAGGCCAGTCTGAGCAACTTACCAAACCCTGTCTCAAAATTTAAAATATATAAAGGGCTGGATATGTAACTCAGTGACAGAGCCCCCCTGGGTTCAATCTCCAGTACCACAAAACAAAACAAAAACAATCAGAGATATTGAATGTGAGTAAAACACCTGCTGTCCTGCTCCCTGTTTCCAATGACTTAGAATGAAGTCTTCTGTACCAAGGGGGAGTGATGCTGTTTAAGCACAATTCAGGAAAATGACAAGAACTATGGAGGCCATTCCTCCTGACCTTTAGCATGCATAAAGAAGTCCAAGCCAAACAATGAAATGACTAGAGGCCACGGTGACAAGAGGCTATCATAGACATTTCAGTGCTAGCCAAGTTCCACTTGGATGCAGCAGTGTGGGAGACCAGAGGCAGAACTGCCTAGCTGAACTCAGCAAACTCACAGAATCATAGAAATAATAAACCATTATTTTAAGCCACAAAATATGGAATGGTTTGTCTGTCTGCAATAAGCAATACTTAAATGATACAGGAAGCTCATTCCCTCTAAGCCTCCTGTATGTGAGAAGGGCTTACTTTTGACCAATCATATTCCGTGGCCTTGGACATGAAGATTAGTTCAGCTCTTCTCAGATTGGTCAAACAAGGCTCAATGATGAGACTTTTAAATCTAGATCTAGAGTTTCTAGAGTCATCTTCCCTGAGAGTAATTCCAACTCAGCAGAGGTAAAGGATTTCATTTGATAGTCTGCCTAGTCCCCTCATGCCTGTATCACTCATCACCTCTGGTCACCTTATTTGCATGAGCCAATACATTTCTTTCACCCAGGAAATCATTTTGAGTGGGGTCCCACAGCTCAA